AAAAAGTGTTTTTGATTTACTTTTGATGATGGCTCTTTATCGTATACCGTCTAAAGTAGATGATAGATTGACCTCGGAGTCCTTTTTATATGATGCAGTCACTGAAATGGGATTATATCGATATCCTATTGACGAGAATACTTTTCAAGTCCTAATTCCGAAAGTATTTGTTGTAATCTTCAAGAACGACCCTTCCATATCTTCTTTGGAAAAGATACTTCTTGGATCACTCGATGTCGAACCAGTAGATTGTTTCTTCTATTCAAAGTGTCGTGTATTTGAAGGAATTGTTGCACTACGGCTAGTTTTGATGTTGTCTTCAAAGAATCGAAATGAATTGAGGGAATTGTTGTGTCAATTGTCTTCGATATGGAAACAAATGAAACTTCCAATCAATACAATATCACCTATTCACTATATGAAGTCTGTTGTTAGTTCTAGAGAAACAAGAAGTGAATCGAACAAGAGTCGAAGAACTTTTGGCAATGCCGAATGGAATAAAATTATTCGAGAGACACTTTATTTAGAGACTATTTACATTCCTTTGGACGCTACTTCTCATAGTCCTGATATTATATTCAAATTACAATCTCCTGTGGAACCCAAAGTTCTTACTGTTGGAGTTGCTTGTAAAGGACGTTGGAGGTCGGAAGGAATTGGCTTGTCAGATATTATAGATGAAGCCAAGAAATTTTTAGATCCTGTTTATGATCAAGTCTTATCCAGTGCAATGGATTATCATCATTGTATGCTTATTGTCGTTAGTACAAAGTTATCATTGAATGTTTCTAATGAGTTGGGTAATCAGAGTCGTTGTTATTCCAGTGGAATGTTTATTGGAAATGATTCTTTCAAAGTACCTGATAATTGTGAACTTGTTATTCTTTGTGAAAGAGATGTCCAAATGCTGATTGACGAAGAAATATTGAATGGACTTGAAAGAGCATTTCATGTTTCTCATAATCCTACTTTTTTGAACTTTGGACTCCAACTGCTTCATAAAGTCCGTAACAGTTTCTTAAGTTGGCAATAGAGTTTCAACTCTTGACTTTGTGATTTCTTTTTAAGAGCAAGTAAATTTTTTTTGTATGTTTGAAACTCGGTTACAACTTATTTGCTTTCACTCTGAGGATTATTGTATTAATATGGTACTAACCACGAAAATCAAAATATGACTATTGTTGCAAAAGTCACCGTCACAGTTTGACAGGTCATATTTGCTTCTTGTTACTACTCAGGAGAGTGTCTTAAAGTGTTGACGATTGGATTTTATACAAGGTCTTGTATTCGTCAAAGATTTTATTTATAGTTCGCCTTAAGTTGAAAGTTCCTCAGCTGGTTATTTTCTAATAGCTCAGAGAAGTTTTTTTATATACAATTGCACGCAAACCAATATCTACTCTTTATTACAAAGAAATGAAAAATGATAATTTATATATATGTAGTTGTGCTGCATATTTGTTCAAAGCTTCCAACGATTTTCGTCTCAATCAGAAGTTTGAGCATTGGAAACTATTGAAGAATATTTATCCTGTGTAATACAGTCTCTCCATTTGAAATTCTGGTTCATAAGCCTGTTAAAAGTTCTTGATAGTTGATTCGACGACAAATTCTCAAAGATCACTTTGTTTTCTTAGAACCAGTTTATTGTCTTTTTTAAGAGAAAACTGAACAATTGGTAATTGTGTTATTTCCGAAAATATAACGTATCAGCAAGTACAAAGCGTATTTGTAGGAAAGCCCAATCGTAACCAAGGATAACATTTTCCTTAGATACTTGTATCTTGATTGTAATGTTGGGCCGGTTTCGTGGATCATTTTATCCCAGAAAGTTCAATGAATCGATTCGAGTGATGGAGGACAATATATCTCTATAATATCATGATTGTATTACTATTGTTACAATCATCTGGCAAGAACTAGTCGTTACCTCTGAAGTGTTATTTGCCTCACGGTATTTGAGCCAAATGATTACTATTTATCTTGGATCACTTTGCACATATCCCTTTTAGCACTTATGCCCACAGTGAGTCTGATACAGTCATTTATTTAGTCGACAACGGTCATAAACTAAGCTCTTATCTTTGTTTCTTTTTCTTTTTCACGCATTCATACATATATGTGTTTTGGATGCCCTAGTGTCTTGTTCTTTTGGATTAGACTTATTCAAACTTGGTTATTAAAGGGACTTCTAAACATTCTTAAGAAATTTTCCATCAGTTGTCTGAGGGCGTGCTTATCTATATAGACCAAAGAGTTACGCTTCTTCCTAAAGCAACGTATCCTTCTCAGTAAGCCTTACTCTTATATCGGACTCTGGTTCTTTCTATATGGTATCGGCTCTACTTGTGGCCCTGCTCCTTCCAAGTTATTGTTGACTAGACTTAACTTCCCTACGCCAGCTTAGAAATTACAAGTGAATGCTTGACTGCGTGTGGAATGACTAATGTGAAAGAACTCCAACTAGATTACATTTGACTGCAATCTGTGAAAGGGCAGATCGTTGACCAATATTTTATCTCCAATACATACTTTTCCATTCATAAAACTTCAAATTCTTAAATTGATTGGCTAATACTTAATTTTCAATGGAGCGAGAGGAGTTTGAAGCAATCCTAAAGTAAAACAACTAAACCAATTTCGAAAGGAACGTATTGATTTTACGAAACTTTCTTTCACCTGACCAGGCTTGACCGTTAGAAAACTCTTGCTGGCTGTATTTAAAGAAACTTGATAAAGACTGCTTTTATAGAGTGTTCCGAAAACAACCGTGATATCTTGTCGCATTACGATACTATTTACGTCATGCGAAAGAAAAACCATACATTGGAAACATATGTATCCTGGATACAGATGAACACTCAAGTTCGAAGGGGCGCCAAGGTAGATACGACTTCACAACTCGTCTTCTCGTGTGCGATACAAGTGCTTTGGGCCTTCTGCAGAAACCGAGAGCAAACCACAACTTACCGCGAGTTGTTGATATTCGAGGGAAAAATGTTCCAAGTCGTCACGAGAAGAAGAGGGTTCAAAAATAACACTAACTAGACCAGCTTCACCGGGGCTTCCACTTTCTCCGAAACCGCTTCCTCCTGCACCTCCTCTTCCATCAGAATACAATACATCATAGTACGGTTTGCCTCCAGTTCCACCTCGAGCGATACCTCCGCGACTTCCGTCACCTCCCTTTTCCACAGTTGGACCACTTCCACTACCACCAGTACCACCACGACCATAAGGTCCCGCATGACCTCCTTCGCCACCACCACCAAAAAGCGAGAGGAAAGTTGAGCCCGTTCCATCTTCCCCTCTGGATTGTGAACTACCACCTTCGCCACCTTCACCAACCAGCACCGTCAACTCCTTTTCGGGTCTCACTGTAACGCGACCAAAGGCTGTACCGCCTGCACCACCTCCACCTCCACCAACAGAAAATGCAAAACAAGGAAACACAACAACACCACCACCACCTCCACCTCCACCAACGACGACTGACCTAGCGTTGTGAACGTTGGCTGGCACCTTGACAGTATGTACACCAGGAGTATCAAAGCGGTATTTATATTCTATTCGAGGCTTTCCTACTTGAGTAACAAAGTAAGCATGAGAGTCACTTTTGAAAAAAGGCTCCAACAAGCCTTCTTCCAAATACCCTTGAAAAAGAATTCTCAAAACTCCTTGACTCGACTCGTAGACTCTCCCTTCTTCTCTTGAGGATAAGTTTTCCAACGTAAATATGTTTGTCGCAAAATTTGTATCAAGGGAAACATCGTTCACTTTTAAACCAATCTCACTAAGATTAGTCTCTCTACAGTCTGGTATATCAGCAGTTATATTCACGGGTGGTGTTAAACGCACAGAAAAGACCTTGTACAATGTTCGGTTTTCAATAAAAATCTTGCTTGCAAAAACAACCGAAACAGATGGACCCTTCGGAACTTGTACAGTATAAATACCAGGAAATGAGTGGCTTATTCTATGGCCTTCTCCTGGCATAAGAAGATATGACAGAAATAAAAGGGTTTCCCAAAACATAAGAGGAACTTGCAGAGACGCAATTAATAAATTAGTGCCACCCTCCTATTTAACCTACTGTTCGGGATCACAAGCTTTCTAGAAAATGCAGGGTGCGCAACTCACAGGTGATCCATCAATGGATGTCTGCTTCAGAAATTTCGATGAGACAATTGAGACAATCATAGCCAACAAATATTCTGAGTCCAAAGGTAAAGTAGAAATGGATCCGCAACTAATTTGCCCGTGCTGAATGATGACAAATTCAGCTTACGGCAGTAGGTCATTTGTCGATTGACTGTAGGCAAGTTGCTTGTCAGTTGGTTTTTGGCTTCAAGTCAAACTCTCGCCATCGTTATCAAGTTGATAGCTGTTATACAATGGAGAAAAGAGCTCAGTTGAGGCTCCTACCCTGATTCGTTTGTATAATTATAATTATACATTTTGCAAGGAAAGCAAACGCTGTTTCTCTTCCCCCTCCTGCTACATAACCTTATGATCTATGCGTTTGTTTCGTGGAGCCTTCTACATATGTATCTCCAATTCTGCATTCAATAGATCTTTGTTATGATACCAGCTGCTATGGGATCCATATAGAAATAATCTCGTCCGAAGCAAAATTGACACACACCCTATGTTTCTTGAAATTCCATACAGTCATTCGACTGTTAGGTAACCCAACACGGGTCCTAATTAAAATAAACTTATCAAGCCTTTCAACCCTTGCATAGTAAAAATTGCATGTACATTTACGAAGAGTTGTATCGCAACACTAGTCACTCTTTGGAAAAGCTTTTTTTTTTTGAAAACTCACCATTAGAATTTGAATAAGAATCCAACAATATAATATCTTTGTCCATTATAAAATATAACATATGTATCAGGGCCATAAGAACTGTTGCCCTTTGAAATGAAAACCAGAGAACCTTATATTGTGCTCTATCATAATCATCAAATGAAACGGAGACATCTCTCAAGATGTATAAACTTAAGAGGCTATTAATCTTCCCCCCCCCCCCCCCTCCGAATAAGACATATTATTCTATTCTACAAAAGAACCCTGGAAAATTCAAGTAATATAAAACAGTAACCAGTTTCTAGATACGTTGAAAAGGAAAAAATCAAATAGACCTTTTCTTACGTATCTACTACAATAATTGTGCCATATCCTGTTGAGATTTAACTAGAAGTGGTAAGATTCAGAGTACTCTAAAGCAAGTGATTATTACTTCCTTCAATACAGTTGTAACCAGAATTG